GAGAAGTAGAACTCATGATCATGAATCTCCTCTTGTTCTCGATTCGTGCAATACAACAAACCCTTAAAATCATAAACCATACAAATTATGAAATGATTGCAGATGAAATGACGGACGAACGACCTGTAGTAAAATAATTGGTTTGGACGATGGTTTTGTCTTTGCCGAGGAATTCAAAGTCAATCTCGTCTCGCGATTGGTGGCCTTCGAGGGATGAGAGGTAGAGGTTGAAGTTGAGGCCGCTGGTGTTGCCCTTGAGACATTGGATGAGGGAGCTGAAAGTGCCGTAGAGGAACCTCATGGTGGAGTGCTATCGGGATCCGCCGGGGTGATCGTAAGGGAGGGTGATGGAGTTGGAGTTGGGACAATGGGTGCAGGCCTCTGGGGTGTAGTCTATGGCGATTTAGTTGATGGGTTGGGTCTGGTGGTAGAGTACCGTATCCGCCATTGCTGCTGTTGGAGTTGCAGTGAATGAGCGGAGACTGATTTTGTTTGGTCAAATTTTGAGAGTTGACACGATATATACGCGTTTTTCTTTTCTTCTTTCACAGTCAGAAATATACAGAAATTTATTAATTACTTTTTGTTCGTGTTAAAATATTATATTAAGAAAGCTATATTTTTTTTTAAGAAATATCTACTATACTAATTTGAAGGATTAATTTAGTATGTGTTAAAAATAATTTTTTTATTTAATTCACTTAAATTGTCTGATGTTAATTTAATATTTAATAAAGTAGATAAATTTTTTTAAATATTTAAGTATTTTTATACATAAGTCTTTAAACAAAAAAAAAATGTTTGTTTATTTAAAAACTAATTAAAAATAAGTATGAATTTTGAAAAAAAAAATCTTTTACTATTTTTAAAAAATAATATTTGCTTATTCTTATATTCCACAAGCATATATTTCCGTATATATTTAGTAAATAAGTACATACTATTTAATATATAAAATTTAAAAAATTATTACTACAAAAGTAGGCCTTACACGGCCCAAACTAATACCAGAACTAGTTAAATTGACGCGGAGCATAAACTTATCTGTCATTAGGACATTGAGCAACTCGTCCCAAACAGAGCCCAAACGTGTCAACCCCTTGCTCATTTCAAAGCTGAGCCAGTGGCAACTCGCCCAACAAGAACGAGCCACAGAGAGAGAGCTCGTTCCTTAGAGATTCGAGAAAAAAAATTAAGGGAGATCGGATAATGGTGGCACACGTGGGAGTCATCTCTGCAGGTTGTCACTTCCCTTCTCGGCCTCGTATTCCTCAATTCTACTTCGCCAAACGCAGACCATTAGCTAGTAAGTTTTCGTCTTCATTTCTTCTGGTTTTTATCTTTTCCCGGAAACAATCCAGTTATTACAGAACCAGCATTTGGTTCTTTCAACTTCTGAAAGAACACCATTGGTCGTTCGATTGTTTTCTCCGATCATATTGTAGCTGTATATGTGATTTATCTCTACTCTGGAATCCAAATTTTCGTTTTCCATGAAAATGGAGTACGATTAACTCAATCTCCATGCAGATTGAGGGAGTAGTCATTATCTGTTTGATAAAAGGATACGAAGTTCATTTTTCATGGTGCGCCATGGAAGATTTCGTTATCAAGTTCTTAGTTATTAACATCTTTGTGCTCTCAGTGACTACCATGGAAGAACAACTATTGATTGCTTTTTGTTTTGAATAGTCATGCCTTAGTGGATTTAATTAAAGGATTTTTAGAGACTATCACAATTTATTCAATGTTCTTGTTAGTGCATGAGTAGAAACGCTAATCTTGGGTTATTTGAGTATAATACTTTGAGCTTTTACAATATCTGGTTTCAACAATTTTGTTGAGCTCCGCATTGTTATTCTGCCTGTGGTTTCAAAAACCTGATAGTGGCGGCACTGAGTGATGATCCTGTTCGAGAATGGATTCTATCAGAGGGAAAGGCAACCAAAATTACCAAAATTAGTCCCGTTGGTGGTGGCTGCATTAACCTAGCTAGTCGTTATGATACTGATGCTGGCTCTTTCTTCGTGAAAACTAACAGGTATAATGTCATGTGTGATGTTTGTTATTGTGTTGGCTGTTGTTTTTGATTTTCATTCAATAAATTCTTAATTGTCTCCGGGAAAAAGCTCAAACCATCTTAATACTCCACTTGATAGGGGCATTGGACCATCAATGTTTGAGGCTGAGGCTCTTGGTCTTAGTGCAATGTATGATACAGGAACAATCCGTGTACCAAAACCATTGAAGGTAAGGAATTTCACCCCTTTTCTGTGGACAATTCTGTAGTTTCTTTTGTGCTTTGGGGATGATGACTCCATGTTAATTGTATAGCATTTGATAGTAACATCATGTACTAATCATCTAATATTATAGTTATCTGAGCACTATACAGATAATTAAATTACTATCAGATGTTAGAAAATTAGTGATGCATGAAGCCTTGGAGACACTTTCTGAACACGCATGCTTTTCAGTTAAGAGTTATCTGTTCTAGCTTGTGTTTTCATGTCATTATCACTGCTAAACTAAGTCTAACTTCTTTCAAGCATTTAGGTTGGACCCTTGCCAACTGGTGGATCATACATCATTATGGAATTTATAGAATTTGGCGCATCTAGAGGCACCCAGGTGAGGGGTACATGATTTTTAATTGATTGATCTGACCAACTTGCCTATGAATTTCTTAATTGGTCATTACTCTTCAGCCTAGTTTGGGGAGGAAGCTAGCCGAGATGCATAAAGCTGGGAAATCAGAAAAGGGCTTTGGTTTTTATGTCAATAACACCATTGGCAGGTAGTGTGCGGCCATTATAGTTCTTACATATCTTTGCCTCGTTCCCACTCTCCCCTCAAAATCCCTTTTGGAATGTTTCTTGCCCTTGCTAATCACCTCATAGTAGATCCTATTTCCTGCAATTGAGTTCCAACAAAGTCATGTATATTGCCTTTGTAGTACACCACAGATCAATACCTGGTCCTCGGATTGGATTCAGTTCTATGGAGAGCATAGATTGGGTTACCAGCTAAAGTTGGCGCTAGACCAATATGGAGATTCTTCCATTTATGAAAAAGGTTTCTCCTTGCTCATTAACTCTGTGACTCCTCCATATATATGAGAGACTTAAGTAAGTTTGCCAGAAAAAAGAAAAGGAGGAATATGGTAACTCGATTATTGATGAACTTAAGCTTGTTCTGTGTGATGAAGTTTTGCATGGAGCTTTCACACTTCTTGCATCAACGGGTGTTGATAGGTCATCATCTTAAGAAAGTGTATCTGGTTGTAAATCAAAACCCGTGATATCCTTCTATCGTGTAATTGTGGCATTTACCAGGAAAAGGGTCAAACAAATGTATTTCTAGTAATACTTATTTAAACTCTATGAACAGGGCAAAGATTGATAAAGAACATGGCACCTCTCTTTGAGAATGTTGTCATAGAACCATGCTTGCTACATGGTGACTTATGGAGTGGGAATATAAGTTCTGACAAGAATGGCGAGCCTGTTATCCTTGACCCTGCATGTTACTGTAAGTTTGTATTTGAATATTGCTCTAGAAATATAACATAAAGCAGTTCAAAGAATATTTAGTTAGTGAAAAGTTCATTAGATATAAATTTGACAAGGGCAGGATAGGGGCAGTTGAAGAGAAGTCGAATTGGATTAGCAAGTTTGACAGCTATTACTTCTACCAAGTATAGAACCGCCCTTGGACCTTCAGGTGGCCAAGGATAGTTATATTTGGCTACCGAACATCATTTAGTCCTCAAAGAGAAGAATCTTAAACTTTGGAAGAATTACAACTAACAACATATAAATAGCTATACTTGTAAATGTTCCTACCGTGTTCATGAGAAGCATGAAAATTTAAAGAACTGGAAGTGTTCTGTTTACTGATTATTTATCTTTATAGATGGTCATCATGAGGCCGAATTTGGAATGTCATGGTGTGCTGGTTTTGGAGCCTCCTTTTACAGCTCATACT